CAACTTTGCAGGCATTCTACGAACATTACATTGTTCACGTAACTTTGCCATTCTTTCGCGATACTTTGATGGCTTTTCCCACAAATTCGCCTACTTTGCACACAGCTGTATGGGCTTTACACGTAACTGTGCATGCAACTTCGTAGATTTTCCTTGTAACTTCACAAATGTGTACATATTTTACAAGTTTTATTTGTAAGTACAAGAATTTTGCACACAGTTTTGCAGTTTTACCAAATTTGCATGCTCATTTGTCGTTTGTCACGAAAATTTACAAACTTTGCATGCAACCTCGTAAGTTTTTCGATCTAACTTCTCCAATTGTGCTCAAAACTTGGTATTGTAACCACACTTAAGCGCACAACGTTGTAACCTTACAAACTCTGTGGCTTTTCAATCATGTAACTTCACACATTTTGCACGCAACTTTTCTATAAAAATTCACCAATTTCGCAGGCATTCTACATAACTTTACCAAAGTTGCAGACAAATTTGTCGGATTTTCACATAACTTCACAAATTTTGCATGCAGCTTTGCCAGTTTTCATGTACATTCACCGCCTTTACAACACAACATTCGCTCTCCTAGCGTAAATTTACCAAATTTGCATCCACCTTTGTAGGTTTTTTTAATGTTACCTGTGGTACCAGCACCTGTATTCAGCACCATTTATATTGATACTATCATTATCACAAAACAGATGTGCATCAGTTACCAACCATGAGCCTCAATAATTATACAAACTAGGGCTAGGCATGCCTGAAAAACTATGAATGCCATTCTAATGTTTGTTTGTTTTTTAAGACAAAAATGGTTGCCAAGTGAAATTTCATAAAAATCCAGAAATAATACAAGAACATCTTGCCATTCTATAACATTTAAACAAAATCAGTGAAAGAAAATTAATTGACCACCAGACAGTCATAGGTCAACAAAATGCATATGCATTGTATGCCTTTGTACATCTGAATAAGCAAATCCAACACCCAAACACATGTCCCCATTTTCAAACAAGTCTCCCACTAATAAATATATGAAACATCAAAGCTGTCAGGTTGAAGCAAAAGTTGGCAAACACAAGAGGGGTGCTGGCAATCGCCTTGCAAATTCCAATCAATCTTTTTTTATTTTAGCAAAGCTTACAAACTGACCAAATTTGAGCACTCTATAATTTTACTATATTTTATTCAAGCAAAATGAAGATATAAATATTGCATTCCATGATTCCAATAGATTCATTACTCTAAAATATAAATATTTGTTAAAAAAGATTACCAATTCTCAATGGTCTCATATCAAAATAAGATTGCAATACTGTGTTTACAAGTATTAGCTGTGATTAACACCCTCTCTAGAAATCAATACATTTCTACAATTGTTTTGTAAATCTAATTCTTCCAAAAATTCTCATATCACATAAATTAGATAATAAAAAGAACACTAGTTTGTGAGTACCAACTGATAAGTTAAATCAAAATATTGAAAATGAGGAAAACAGAAAATCTTAGAAGAATAAATTCAAACATATTTTATTATCTTTTGTATATATCCATATTTGGACACCAAGAGTTGAGAGCGATACTCATAATAGTCACCTTTGACAATAAATTATCTGACTGATAAATAGAATAGTGATACACAAATACACAACTGTATTGGAGCAATATTTACCATATCTACTCTATTAGAAGCGCATCTGCAACATAAGTGCATACGTTGTATACTGAATCATTTTTACCATGGAAACATGTCATTTTCATAGGCGCATAAGCTATACTAAAAGAGCAAATAGCATTGTTAATTTTTATTTAATTTTCAGTCTTGATCAACATTTATGTTACGATTTATAATAAGTCTCATAAATCAATTCAAAACCACTGTTCACTTTCTCAAAATTGTCATGTATTGAATATAATCTGCTACATTTGACATACGGAACAACGTATCCTGCCATAGCAGAGCAATAAATATAGCATGTCACAGTAATTTTATTAATTGAAATTAAATATTAATTTATTTAATTCACAAATGAATGTTTCCAGTGGTTTACATACATGTACAAGTTAATCCAGTTGAATTAATTAAAAGTATGTAACCCATGTTTTTGTAAACTTTTGCTAAATGCATAGCAACAAATATTATGTGTTCATAACCAAGTTTAAATATTATTTGAAACTATGATAAGTTTTTAAATCAAAAAAGCCCAATTCTAGATGAGTTAGTAATAGGATTCAGTGAAAATATTGATGATGTTGATTATAAATGTGTGTTTTTTCTTTGATAGACGCGTGTCTAAAAACACAAAAGAAAGAAACTGGTAAAGCTGCAGAAGTTGTATATTATGTCATTCACTTATCAGTAGTTAGTATGGCAACTGTCATTTCGGTAAAGCAAAATATACCCAGCACAAATGAATGTTTAGTTTGAAAATGAAACAAAGTTACTGAAATCAATCAGACTCTTGTTTACTAAAAAAGAGAACTATATTATCTTATCCCAAATGTATAAATTTATAGAATTCATTGAATTCAAATGTAAGCAATAGTATATCAAAAATACAATTTAAGGAATTGTTCAATCAATGAAAAGCTAAAATTGGTTCAGGCAACTAATTTATAGCGTTTATATACCAAGATATACCATGGATGTATGCCTATATCATAGTTTGAGATTTTCATACAATTGTCTATTTCTAGACTAGACACCTGTCAACAAATAATACTCATGCATAAGCTGAAATGTTGAATGAAAACCAGGCTTAAGCCATGCATCCAGTTAGTGTAGATAATGCAGATACTAAAAGTTGCTCTTAACATTATAACCTTAAATAAATCCGTCATTATTGCAAACTACTCAACTACTCAAAGTTTCAGACAATCACAGAATTGTGTCACTTTCAGTTTTTTTTTAAATTTTGGTTACTTCTGATTTTTATTTTTTAAATCAATTGTTTTCTTTGCTTAAGCAGGTGGTTTTAGGAACACTATAAAATTGTAAACATTATGCAAAACTACTACTATAATATAAACAAACAAAAAATACTCCCCCCAGGTTTGAAAAGTATTGCTTATTATTCTGTCATGGTTTGATACAAAAAATCTGTTTTTCTTTTGTTTACTAAGGGACGACGTCAAAAGAGCGATGTCGGATAAAAAACTTAATTCCTTTTAATTAGTTTTTTTCCAAAACCCCCCTACCCCCCACTGAAACTTAATTGATAAATACTGGTCATGGCGTCAGACTACATTCACCATTAAATACAAATTGATTATCGAACAGTAGTATTGCATAGCAGTTGGTTGTCGGGTGGGTGTAAAAAGAGTTTACAAATGCACCTCATTTGACGCACAGATTTACACTCGAACCAAACCATTTTTCTGTTTTTTTTCCCTTTTCGGTTATTTCTGTCCATGATTGGATAGAACTACAAATACTCCAAGATTTGTTTGACTTCATTAAAAAATAAAATCGTTTTTTTAGGATGGAAACTTTTTGAGGTGAAAACCCCCCACCCCCAAACTAAAGGAAATAAGTTTTTTATCCGACATCGATCTTTTGACGTCGTCCTTAATACATTTGTAAACTTCAAGTTTGTTGAACACTTGATGGTCTCCATAGTAATACTGAAATCTGGCACGTTTTTTTTCAACATGATATAACCAACAGTTCATGTAAATCTGAATATTGATGATCACAAAAATCACATTCCGGAAGTAAATTAATTGCTATTAATAAAGTTGCAGTCTGATCAGTTGACAGCGATTTGCACTTTAAAAAGTACTGATAAAATTAACAGCTGTCATGATAACAAATGAAATATATTTCATATATTCATGCAATAAATCTACAAGTTTACGTAATCTGGAAGCTCACAATTGATTATGTTTTAACGGAAATTTTGTCTTCTAACAACAACGAATGCACCATGAAGTCACAAAATTTTAGTCTAAAAATATTATCACTTCAAAATTTCAATGTAATTTTTTATTCCAAAAACCACTGTTTCAAAAATAATTAGTCAATTGAGAAGTCAAATTATTTTCACTTTTCTTTTTTAAATATTTTTCCATTTTTTTAAATTAATTCATCATTAAAATAATTCAGCCAATAAATCTCATTATTGCTAATTGTTGATTGTTTTAATCAATGGTACAATGTATGTGGACCATCTGATGTATGCACAGGTGACAACTCCCTCGCTTTAGCTACCAAAGAATAATTTGCATAATAATGAAATCAAGAGTCAGTTGTTGGCAAACCAGTAAATGCAGTAGAAATGTCAGCATAATATAACTACTACAAATTGCACAGAATCACTACTTAAATAACTCAATAACAGAGCCAATTGGGACACTCCTCTCCATTATTGTCTGAAGGAATGGCCAGTGACACTATTAACAGAAAACGTAGGGAAAATGCAAGACTGTCTGTTTGGGAAATTGGTGTATTCAGTTTAGCCACATGCTGTAGTTATCAGCCAATGAATCACATCATAGCAGAAATGACTAGGAGTTGGGTGGGAGGGGCCAACTCACTGAACAATGTGGTAGTTACAAAACTTCCTCATAACAAATACAGATACAACTATGAATTGTATTTCTGTGATAGCCATAAATTGTTTCTTTGAAAATTAACTTTTTCTTTCTACCCAAAAGAATCTAACATACTGTCTCTAATTTGTTTTTTCAGCAGAACTATGGTTATACTAGTGAAGGTCAAACCAAAACAACATCAGACTGGTATAATTTAACATTCATCACTATGCAGAATTATCATATGAAATAACAGTAAAATAAATGAATCTATCTAAATTGTAAATTCATTTTGTGAAAATATTTTATGCAATTATATTATGCAATGAAAGCCATCATATTGTACTATTGTTACTGTTCTCTCATTGGTGTAAAGGATCAAGTTCAGGATGATGACTGGCTTGGTGTCGACGCAGATCTCTTTTGTATGCGTAATGTTTACCACAACTATCACAACCAAATTGCTTTTCCCCAGTATGTTTATGGAGATGACCCTGTAAACTGTCAAGCCGACTGAAAATTAACCCGCACTCCTCACATTTATAATGCTTAGTTTCCTTAGTTGCTGACAAGACCACAGATCTTTTATTACCTTTGATTGCAGTAAAGATTGGATGCATGTTTCTTCTGTGACGGTGAAGGTCACCGCGATAATAGAAGCTTTTGCCACAATGTTCACAGACGTATGGTTTCTCTCCAGTGTGAGTGAATTTATGTTGACGGAAGCAGTCTTGGGATCGGAATGTCTTTCCACATACTTTACACTTGAAAGGGCTTTCATCTAAATGTACAAGTTGATGACGGGCTAAGTCACGCCTATAGCCGTATGATTTATCACACTGGTCACATTTATATGGCTTTTCACCAGTGTGTGTTACTAAATGCTCACGTAAGTAGTCTGAACGAATAAAGGATCTTCCACATTCATGACAAATGTACATGTCATTACCTGTGTGTATCTTCATGTGATCTTTCAGTGATTTAGGATATACATATGCTTTACCACACTCTTGACATATATATCGTTTTTCACCAGTGTGAATCATTTGATGTTTCTGTAAATCAATGACTGATGAAAAGCTTTCAGGACATTGATTACATGTTATATTTTTCTGTTGACTGTGAATAATGGCATGTTTACCAAGACTTCTTTTGCTGTCAAATGAGAGTTGGCAGATTTCACAAGTATTACTCAGGATTCCACTCTCACGTTTCAGATTATTAATACAGTTATCTAGAGTTTTGCGTTTAGATGAAGGTACCACAATTTCATTTGGATCTGGTACATTCGGTTCCCCTACCAATCCACTGACACCTTCTTTTATAACTTCATGTTTTGACTCTACTTGAATTTCTTGGCCATCTGCTGTATGAAGGATTTTGATCAAGTCCTTCTCACCATGGACTTGTACAAACTCAGAACAACCTTTAAGGAGTGTTGGAATCTTAAAGAATTCAGCAGCAGCCTGTAGTGGGTAGACATTATCTTTGTCCAGGTTGACAACACCACTGTACAAAAACTGCAGTAAATTGCCCATGGTAGATGCAGAAATGTCACTCAAATCAATTTTATCCACCCCAGTACGCATCTGAAACATGGTACGGAAATACTCACTGCAGCTTGCAAGGACCAACTTGTGACATGGAAAATCTTGACTGTCTACAGAAATCAAAACATCAGTGAGAAATAGCTGTCGTCGTAGTTGGTCTAGTTGATTTACTATTTCTGAGGTGTATCCGGGAGATGTAAAAGTCCATGTCTTCTGAAAATAATTGGCATTGGTGACTGATGCAACTATTTTTGTCATGTCATCATTGATTAAAACAGCTTCATGGCTTTGCTGTTGTAGTTGGTCAACCAGAGATACAGGATGTACAACTTCTTTTTCAAGTTTAAGACAAACGTTCTGATATGTTTCCATTCTGTAAAATCTGAAATGATACATTGACACATAATTAATGAAGAGTTCCAAGAAATGGCTATAATGCATACTACATGTATTGTTAAATTGGTTCTCAAGGGTATTATCAAAAATACTTGCAATGAGTCCTTCTAGGTCTAAGCCTATAATTAAATTACCGCCCATATCTTTTCAATGTTCATCCAATTTAGCTTTGAAGTTTTCAGTGTTACTCCATGATTCAAAAATAGAAGTTTGTTTCACACTTCAGAGAACACTCATTAGCTAAAAATAGATTTCCTAACTTGCAAACATGTTTTTTTTTTAACAATTTCAACTTATGACCTTAATGCATGTTTTCCCTGACAAAAGTTTCAATCTTCTCACTCCAGTGATGCATGCATCAGCCCAAATTATGCCAATTTGTTCTTCTATGGTTTCCCTTGCAGTTTCTTGACAATTCAAGTAGCCCTCCTTGTACATTTTCCATGTGACTAATATTTAATAAAACAAGCCATGCATGGCACAGTCCCCTAATAAGTTGACCATGTCTAAGAATGAATGTAATTTTTCCACGAAAAATTAGAAATCCCACTTTGTCATTTCTGGATAGATCACAAAACATTCATGGTCTTACTTGAAGAATTCATGCAATGTGTTTGTTTCATACATGTACTTGATGTTATCCTAATCCCTCCACTACTATGTAAAACACTCTATACTTATCTCCAATTCAATCTGATTAAAATCTTAAATCTTGTATATTTATTTTACTTTTATTATTTTTTTAATTATTTTGTTTTTAAGTTTTACTTTGGATTCGGTATTTTTTTAACTATCACCACATACATCTGAACAAATGCCTATGTGACAATATTTCAACCAGACCTTCTCTGACTGGTTTCGTCAACGAATCACAGACCATCTATAATGCACCTGATGATGTCACCGGTCAGTCAGGTCATAAACACACTCAACTAAAATGGTGGATTATATCAATGTTAGCAATGAAAACTATCTGGGAAAAACATGGTATTTTGGTTTATAAATTGTCAAATGAACGAAAATTAACTATGATTTTTATGATTATATTGTGGCTTAAATGGTTCCAGTTTATGTCGTTATTTTGCATGGTTATTTCGGGAATGGCGATTTTTGTTTCACTGGTTCAACCAAACACCAGCAAACTGTTTGCAGTCGCTTGCCCTGGAGACAGGTGATGTTTTGTTAGTGATCATCTATGGTATTGAAGTCATTGCTGTAAATATTCATTAAAATGCATCAATATAATGTACAATAACTATTTATTAATATAATAGAGCTGAAATAAAATATTTATTCGGAACACATGACAATTGATCAGGAAATATGTTTTTGCTCCAATATTCAGTGTGGACACTGTTTAGCTGGTTATACAATTTAAAATTTGGAAATTAATTGTTGCATTGTTTACTATAGCTGTTTACAGTTCATGAAACAAGACATGAAATGTCACAGTCCCCGTTATTTGATTATAAAGTAGTACAAGGAAAATCTGCAAACAGGTGAATAAATATGTACTCTTTGTGGGTACAACTCATCATAAAGTGATTTCCCATAAACTAGTTGAAGAAACTGCATTCATAAATCTGAGTGAACCTTGATGTACATGACTTCTTTGTTAATCAGGTCTTAGTATATTACCAGGACCTGGGTTTGTTTCAACATCACCACTGGGCATCAGAATCATTCTCATGTTGTCAAATACAATTTGTTATTAATACAGGAAGGTTTATTATTTAAAATGTATTTATTGTACATAGACCAACATCTGTTAATTTAAACAATTGTAAAAGCTATGTTTTCAGAGCAAGTACATGTAATAATTAAGGAAGCCAGTAAAGGTTGGTCTGCTCATAACCTTCAATGGAGAAGTAACAATAACTGTTTGAAGTCTTTTTAGTGCATTTCAATCATTATTAATGAGTATAAAATACTGTAAACCATTTAATTTTCACTTCTAGATATATTCAGGATTCTATGAAATTTCAATGAAGTCCCTGACACTCCATGTTGTAGGATCCCAGAAAAAATTGCCTTGCGAAATTGGAGCAGTTCACAGCACCACTGTAAAAAAAAAAAAAGTTTGAAATGAGTATTGTCAAAAATAAACAAATGTGGATTCATAAGACATATGTACCAATCTGAGTGCTTCTCGAGATTACCGTACTTATCCGGGTAAGAGCCCATGCCTGGACAAACGCCCACCCCCCACTTTTGACACAATAAAGAAGTTGAGGTCATATCCGTGCACATGCCCAGGGGGGTCTTTTTCTACACAAAACAAAAAAACTATTTTCCATTCGTTGACTGTGGTTGTATTAACAGTTAGTTGACTTTCTTGAAGTCTGTCGTGATACTTCTTTTTTTGAAATATGCCGTGGCCCTAAAAAGGGCTGGCCGTTTTGTTTGTGCTTCCTTGGAAACTATTCAAGTAAATCGTATAAGGAGAGCCGCTAAGCAAGTGTCGTACTCGTTCGTCTTTAGCGTCGTCGACAATGAAAACAATGTTGCAATATTGTAGCAACCCGTAGCTGGGAGAATGGTTGAAATCACGTTATTTTGGCTTTATAAATATTTTGTTTAACCCCTGACATTTTAATTCATTTTGAGTTCACCCGTATTGGGCGTGTTTGTCGGCGGGAAAATCCTAACTCAAATGATTCATCACTGTCGATTTTTATTATTTCTGGTTTATTTGTCACATTATAAGCAATACATTATTTTTGTTTTACTTCTAGTGTTGCATATTGTTTATTTATTTCCGTTGCATGTTTTCATTTGCTGTTCTATTCCCTGCCGCAGTTCAATCTGCATGTTGTCACTTTTCGCCTATTTTCGTTTTTTTGCCAGGGATCTCCTGGCAAACGCCCACCCCTTCTTTTTAGCAATTTTCCATGTTCAGGACCCTGGGCTTATACCCGGATAAATACGGTAGTATCACAAGATTTTACTCTCTGTGATTCAATATCAGCCCTATGTATAACGCTGTGTTGATCAGGCAAACTAATTGACAATGGCCCTACATGTATCGCTATGCAATCACTGTAGTTTTGTATTCTTCTTGCAATTCGACCATAGAAAAATATTTGTTTTTGAGAGTGGCCGAATTATTAGAAGAAAAACAGAAACTATTTTTTTTAGTATAAATTATATAAATAAATTCAGCGAGCACTCCTGAAATTTCAGATCATTGGTACCATGTTTTTGGATACATTCAATGACCTAATACATAAAATCACATTTGTTATTGCTCAATCACTTGACCCTGTATGGCACAAGATTG